GCTGGCAGTTCGAATCCACTCAGAGAAACCCAGGAGACAGGCCTGACAATCTGCTTCCTGGAAAGCCATCTGGAGCAGTTCTACTCTGCACACACAGGATTGCCATGAGTTGGAATCAACTTAATGGCAACCAACAAGAACTACTATATTAAGTGGCCTCGTCTTAAAAGATTTTCATCTTTTTAAAGCTATATGGAACCCTGAGGCCTGCAGACATGAATGGACACACACACACACACACACACACACTATTCTACTGATATTATAGCAATAATGTTTTTAAAGCTACAGTATTTATATTTGATGGTCAATTTTTTCTGTCCTAGAAGCTTTAATTCAGAAGATCATATCATTTAATGCAATGGAATGGGTTAAGTCTTTTCATCAGAGACCCACATGATTTGCATAATTTGTCTTGATCAAGTTTATACACACACACATGCTATTCTGCTGATATTATAGCAATAATGTTTTTAAAGCTACAGTATTTGTATTCGATGGTCAATTTTTTCTGCCCTACAAGCTTTAATTCAGAAGATCATATCATTTAAAGCAACGGAATGGGTTAAGTCTTTTCATCAGAGACCCACATGATTTGCATAATTTGTCTTGATCAAGTTTATTCTCCTTGCATAGCAGCAGTTTGTGCCTGAGGCAGAAGGAAGGTAGGAAAGGTGCAGTTTCTTGGCAAAATTCAAAAACCATACAGAATGGTAGTTTTGGAGGGAGATGTTTTTAGAGAGGAGAAGCCAATCATTCTAAATGCAGGCAGAAATAGACTGTCATATCAGTGAAGTGGACTGAGCATAGATAGTCTTGATTAGGACTATTTTCAAGCAACTGCCAATGATAAATAAAAGATTCATTCAAATATATCAATGGCCAGTCTATATGTAAAATAACATGGGGAAATGTTAGAAGTCAGAAAAACTTGACACCTAACACAGTGAAAATGTCACCATTGCAGTGCAACAAACCATTCAGTGGTTCCCAGCTGGCATGACACAGCCTTTCACCAAACCGGACTCTACGCTTTCAGGTTATCATCATCCTGAGGCAGGCCACACATGAACTCTAAGGGAAGTGGCTGCTCAACCCACACATCTGTGTAAACCAGCAGAATTCCAAAGCTATGGAAGGGTGAACTGTTACTGCATTTATATGCAAATTTTCAGCACAAAATGGATGTATGCACACACACATACACATAAATGATTCTAGAAACAGTCATTTATTGATTGATTTATACACCAAACACTTTTAGAGTGCCTGAATGAACAGGTATCGTGTTAAATGCTAGTAACTGAAAAATGATATTAAATCACAGAGCCTGGCCTCCAAGTGCTCAGGGTCTGATGTGGAAGAGAGGCAGACATTAAAACCAAGTGCCAGCAATGGGGTTTCACAGGAATCTGTGACCAAAGCAGAATTCAAAAAGGCATATTAAATTGTGACTGAGGTGGAGGCAGGAATTAAAAGAGGAAGTGGTAATTTTTTTTGTAGGATATTAAAAATTCAACAACAGCAACAAAGATTTGAAAGAAATTTGGCAAGCTGAAGGGATAGTAGCATCATCCAGATGGAATAAACAGCCTGCATTAAGACCCTAGAAGGTGGGAAAGCCTGGCATATTTGTTGTGTGCTTGTACTGGGGGGGCGGGGAGCAGCAGGGAAGAGGACTGGACCGCTGAGAGGCTTTATGTGAGGTCTTGCTCACTTTATCCAACTTAATAAAGATAAACCATAAAACATCCTAAGATATCAAAAGTTATGTCTGAGCACACTTCCAGAGATATTAAACTAATGTAGAAATTCATTCTGTCAACCTATCATACTTTTTGAAGAAACATCACCATTGAAGAAGCATGGGACAAGGATAGAAGATGGAATTCAGCTTTAAAAGCAGAAGAAAGGGGGAGAGGGGGTGGACCTTTCTAGCAAGGAGGCTGCTAAGAGTTGTTGCTATTGGCATTGTTGCTGCCCTGTTGTTATGCTGCTGTTGTTGTTTTTGCTGTTTGTGTTGTTGCGATTGTGGCGGCTGCTGCTGCTACTTTGCATTCCCAGTGAGCACTTTTCTCTGAGGAAGCGTCCCCCCCATTCCTCCTCTCCAGCACCTCAAAACGTCTCCTCAGAATCATCACATAAGGTAACGGGTATGGGCTTCAAGACATGAATTCCCTCCTTTTCCAAAAGCAAATGTGAGAAAACCACCTCATGCATGCACATAAGAGAAGTGAGAGGGGAGCCTCACCTCCCCTCCCTTTCTGTTGCCACCTCTTCAGAATAAACAGTGTAAAAATACAAAGGAGAAGGGGAAACCCTGAGAAATCACTGAAGTGCAGGGGGAATCAAAAGACAACTTACAATCATCCTCTTTGACCATCCTCTTGCTTTGTTCTCTTTCTCATTTCAATTTTGTGCCAATAGTCTTATATGCTCTCCAAGAAGCAAATGTAAGAACCAAAAACATGAATGATGCTTTGCTACTCTGAAAAGTGTTTTATGGTGTTTTTTGTATCAAAAAATCTTGTTTAAGTTTACAAAGTTGAATTTATATGAAAATCAAATAAAATTGCCATAGACTAACAAAAATAAAATGTAAAGGTTTTTCTTTTAAGGTACCTCTCTGTGAATTCAAGCTTGGGATGTGTGGGTGGGTGGGTGGGGAGAGGAGAACTGGTGAGAAGATGTGAACAAGCAGATCAGATCAGATATGATTTATTTCCCATTCAAATGATGGCTCAGAAAGTTTCCATTGAATTTTAATTTCAAGAAGCACATTGCTCAATATGAATTATCTCCATATCATAAATTCATGTATCATATACACTGTATATTTTGTGTTGTTGTTGTTCGGTGCTGTTCTGATTACCTAGTGCCGCTCTGACAAGAATATACCACAAATGACAGGGTCTTAACAAACAGGAGTTTATTCTTACAGTTTGGAGGCTTTAAGTCCAAGTTCAAAGTGCCAGGCTCTAGGGGTTGGGTGAAAGCCCCCTGACTTTGGGCTTCAGCT